CCAAGTCCTTTTCCCCTGGCCCCCCCTGGATCCTGACCCACAATGCCTCGGTGTTCTCCTCCTCCACCCCTGCCTTAATGGTGGAAGATGTATACTGCTCTTTAACATAGAGTGCTATCCCCCCAAAACCTTTTTTCCCCACTCTGTCACACCTATACAACCTATACCCCTCAATGCCTACTGCCCAGTTGTGTGTAGAATCCCACCATGTTTCAGTTAGTCCGACTAGGTCACACCGGATGCTAACAAGCAAGAGTGTGAGCTCCTCTTGCTTGTTCCCCATACTCCTGGTGTTTGTATAAAGACATTTTAGTCCCCCAAAGGGGGCTCTTGGTGCCCCTGTGCCTTGATGGCGTGTGTTCCTTTTATTACTTACCTGGTGTGGTCTGGTGCCTTGATATGGCTTACCAACCCCTTAATACTTACCTGGTGCAATCTGGCATCTTGTTTGTGGTTTACCAACCCTGGTCTCTCTTTGACCACCAGTTCCCCAACCCCTGTCGAGCCTAGTTTAAAGCTCTTTGGAGTAGATCAGCCAACCTGCGGGTGAACAGGTATTTACCTCTGGGAGAGAGATGAAGATCATTATCTCCCAGGAAGCATCCTCCCTGGAAGTGCTGGTCAAGGCAAGCAGGGATCAGCGTCTGGGAGTGGGATGGGTGGACAGGGCCAGGGTCAGGGCCAGCAAGGGGGGGGCAGTGACAGTGCAGGGTAGGGGCCAGGGCAGAGCTGCGATCTGTTCCCCGCATGATGAAGTATGACCAACCTGACTCAGACCATAATCTGGTCAAATTCCATCAGGGCTGTCCCACAGCTGCCAGGCTGTGCTATTCTGCAGCTGCACTGTATTGGGGCTGCTCATGTGCACCTGTGCTGGGGCAGGGGCGGCAGGGGCCCAGTCATGGGCGTGCACTCTGCCCCCATCCAGGGTCAAGCTGGCCATGATCCATCATGCAGGGAGCGGATTGTGGCTCTGCCTCAGCCCTGGCCCCACATTATTACGGTTCCACAATCCTAGCCTCAACCCCAGCCCCAGCCCTGTCCATGCACCCCGCTCCTGGACGCCATTCCCCACCCACCCATGGCCCCATCCCATCTTCTGGCTGAGCACACCCTGCCTACGGGTGTCTCATGCCAGTCTCCATGGAGACCCTGCCTGCTTGCTCTGTCTGGCGCCTCTGGTGTTGGGTGTGGGGCAGACAAGCCGAGGTGTCTGGGCAGCGGGGTCGAGGCTGGCAGCAGTGGTGCAGACTGGCAGCAGCAGCTGGAAGGAGCTGCCACTGTGAGGGCTGCCAGGAAGTGGGTCTGACCACCATGCCACCCCAGCCCTGCTATGTGCCCTGGGGCAGTGGCTCCAGTCACACACAACATGGCCTGGGCTGCCCCCCTATCCTGGGCTGGATAAAATCCTTTGGAGGGCTGGATCCGGCCTTCAGGCCATATTTTGCCTACCCCTGTCCTAAGGTCATCTAGTTGAACCCCCTGCTGGAAACTGGGATTTGACTGCATTAAAAAATAAAATGCAGCTGGCTGTGGCATGTTTCACACATACCAGTAAAGTGACTGGTGCATCCCACTCTTGCTTTTCAGATGCGTCAGAACTTTCACTTCACTGATATACACACACCACATAATGCTGTGACAATCTATCACTTTACTGATAAACAATATTTATCCCATAGGATTCTCTTTAATATAAAAGCTCTTTTATTATTTTAAATACCCATTTGGGCTCATCCTAAAAGACGAAGCTTCAAAAGATGACAAGTGAATTTTCATGTCTGCTTCTTAGCTTCCCCTGAATTTAGAGAAGTTTAGAAAACTGCTCTGTGAAATAAGGGTATTGTTCTTCTTTAATTAGATTTTGTGGCAGGATTATCTTTATTTCAGGATGCCAATTTTTTTTTTTAGAGGATGAAAATCCTGCAGCCCAGTTGATGAGTGAGCTCATCCTTTTCATTAAGAAGGTGCTAAAGAAAGGAATCAAGGGTAAATACCAGTGAAATCTATAAGGTAGAGGACTTAGGGGAATTATTTTCTCAGGCGTATTAATTACATTGAAAATTCCTATCATTATCCATATGTAATGCAATGCCCACCAGGACATAAGTGTCATGGGGCTTGTAATGTATCTACAAAAATGGCTAGACCTGATACACCACTTCTTTCCTTCAGTTTTACATTGGTATAACTCCCTTGTGATCAACAGTTGCAATGGCATAAAGCTGGAGTAACACAGAAGAGAATCACTTCCCCTCATATGCCTACCTCATTCCAATATGTTATGCCAATCATACACAAAGTTGCCCCCCAGAGCAGTGATGCTGGATGAGGTAAAACCCATCAGGCATGCCCATTTGAGGGGATCTTTTGTCTGGCAGACAGCACAATGTAATAGGCATGTAGATTGAGAGTCAGATGTTTAGTTATGCCAGGGTACAAGCTGATGTGTGATGGTGAAAAAGGCAGAAAGAGCATCTCCCTCCAGTGTGTACATTCCCTTGCACAGTGACACTCCTTGCACTATAAGTGAGAATACCCAAAGTTAGGACTTTCATTGCCAGTGCCAGCTGCTTAAGAAGGCTTGAGGAAGCAGGAGTAGGTGAGGGAAGGGCCACAACCCAGTCCTTCTATCTACATGCAAAGACAGACAGTCAAACACTGCAGAACACATGTGGCTCCCTCTGTGAGACCGATGCATCCATGTTTGCCTACTTATTCCTAGAGCCATTATGTCTGTCTGGGTGTGTCTACCCATGCAAATGTTGCAGAGTGGGTTTACTCTAGAGCAGGGGTGGGCAAAATGCAGCCCATGGGCTGGATGTGGCCCGCCAAACCATTCTATCCAGCCTGCGGGGCCCCTAAAAAATTTAGAAAATTAATATTTAGCTGTCCCTGGCTGCCTGTCATGCAGTCCTCGATGGCTTGCCAAAACTCAGTAAGTGGCCCTCTGCCTGAAATAATTGCCTACCCCTGCTCTAAAGTAAATTATTCTAGATTAAACCCACCCTGGCCAGGCGTCTACACGTGCAGGGATGGGAGCAGATCTGCTGCTCCTGGCAGCAATCTGCTCCAGTCCCCTCAGGCCCTTCATCAGCCCCCTGCAGCTGCTAGGGGGAGCTCTAAGCTCCCCCTGGGTGCTAGCCCAGGGGCTGGCAAGAAACATGGAGCCAGGAAACAGATGTCTTCTGGCAGGGGATGGGAGATTGCTCCCTTCCCTGGTGGGGCTGCCTGCTGCTGGGGTGAGCTCTGCCACCAGAGCCCAAGAAGTTTTTAATGTCCCCCTGTCCTGGCAGCAGGGAGCTCCTGCCCCCTGTTCCCCAACTGGGGGCAGGGGATTTGGAAAGAGCTTCAGGGGAGGGGCAGGTTCCAGCCCCCTGCCCCAATCTGCTGGTGGGGCAGCTAGCAGCGAGCCCTGGGCTGGGTGGGGAATCCCTATCCAGCCGGTGACTGGCTGCTAGCTGCCCCACTGGTGCCCGGGGCTGGGACATTGTCCCCACCCGGCCTCCAGTGCCCTGACAGCAGGCAGCTCCCACAGGCAGGGAGCAATTTCCTGCCCCCTGCTGCCCAGCTGAGCAGGAGCAAGTTTGTTGCTTGTCAGCTATCTACATGCGTTATACAGTGCAGTTCGTAATCATGAGTAAATTTGCTACTTGTATTTACAGGTAGCAAATTTACTCATGATTTGAGCAAATTACTGTGCAATAAGTGTCTGCACGTGTAGATGGCTTACTGCACAGTAATTTGCTCTAATCTCAAGTAAAGCGTCTCGTGTAGATGTGCCCTCTGAACCATTCAAACAACACACCAGTCCCTTTGCTAGATGAAATAGAACTGATGCTAGACAGGATCAAACAGACCTTTCTGTGTATTACCTCTGATCAGTCATGACTTAACGGACTCCACGTTGGCCCAGAATGTAACTTGGATTTGCATCATCAATTTACACAACCAGAGAATCCATTACCTCTTAGACACTGGTAACTAGAAATTGTTCAGAAATTCACAGCATGGGTCCTATAACTGAACTAAAGCCACAGTGTGTCTTGACAAATATATATATTAAAATGCCTCAATAATATACCTATACAATATACAGCTTCTCAGTTAAATTATATGCATCTAAAAGTATACTTCCTTTTATTGTCTGGAAAAAGAATGTTTTTTGGACTTTCCCCCTGCCCAGATTTTCTAGGAAATTAAACACACATGCAAATTTGTTACTAGCCTTCCTTCCTAACACCAACTTAAAAACTCTCTGAAAAGCCAAAGTTTAAACCTACGCTTTGGCCCTTCACATATTCTACTGTGTCTTTCCACCTGCACATCAGTTTCAAAGACGAGCTACATGTTTGGTTGTGTTTCATTCCCGTAACTCAAGTCAGTTTGCAAAGACGTATTAACAGATTAAAATGTCAGGCAAGACTAGAATCCCAGCTGGTGCAGATCAGTGGAGCTAGGCGAAATTGCACCAGCTGAGCCACCGATGTGTATGTTAGACAGTCGCTCAGCATCAGCAGAGTTGTGAAGAGACCCTGCACAATTATGTTCTGTAAGACAGGGGCTGTTCTTTTGCTCCATGTTTGTACAGCACCTAGCATATAAGGTCTGGATCCATGCCTTGAGTTCCTAGGCACTTTTGTCATAGGCAGATAAATACATCCAACAAACAACAACGATTGCCAGCCTCTGGTAGAAAAAGTTTCATTCAAAGAAAATTTTAAAACTTCTATAATATTATTACTTTTAAACTAAAAGGGCTCCCTACTAAGATACAGGTTGTTCCCCTCAAGCCATGTTCTCCACATTCTTTTGTCAGGAGAATGAGGTTTGTCCCTCTTACATAATCCTGCTTTCTTTAAGGCTCCTGCTCCTTCCCCTGATCTGTAAAATAAGAAGTGGCAAGTCTTCTTCCTGGATACACTAATTCATTTACATTAAAAAAAATAGGTGAGACATGTTATCAGCTTGCCAGACTGAAAAACAGGTTTTAAGTGTACCTTAATGCATAACACAGATGGAGAGGAATATCAACAAAACCATATCTGCAGCTCTGCCCTTCCAGAAACAGCCTTCGCCCACTCAGTCGGAATCCCTCAGGCCCTGTGGATCCAGTCACAATCTGCAGAATCTGAAAGAGCAGAGCAGAAGAAACAAGTGAACAAAGGAGGGGGGGAGGACACAGCCCCAAACTCAAGTTAATTCACTGCAATTACCAGGAATCTCAGAGTCCTTTCCACAGGCAGAGATCTTGTGTCTCTGTCTTGCCTTCTGGCCTCCCAAGTCTCTGTCAGCTCAGACAATTCAGTGACAGAGGCTTACAAACGTAACCATGTTACAGTACTTTTAAAAAATCCCTTTTGAGCCTACTGAACTGAGAACAATTTTTCCATATTGCATTCTCAGCATGTTCAACACAAAAATTGCTGCTACTTCTTATGCTTTCCCTGACAACGAGTCAGCTAGGCTGGCTTTCTTCAGGCAGAAAACTTCTCTCTCATAATTATACTGGTATAGTATTCAGAGAAGAAAGAATTTAACACTGAAACAAAATACAGGTCATCCGACCATGCCCCGCCCCCCCAATCACTATAACATAATTGACCTAGTAAGTTCGCTGCACAATTCATTTTTTAGCATGGTTCAGTGGTGATTGATATGAGCTTATGAAGTCTCTTCCTTGAATCTGGGATGTCATTTCATCAGTGTAAATTCCCATTTTCCATTTGCAGTCAGAAGATGACACATTGGATTTTCCTTTTAGAAAGTAGATGAGGGGTCAAAATCTGCCACATCAGTTTAATTTATCATTAAGCTAAGTTGAAGCAGTTATCTCTCCGAATTTATAGGGGCTTACAAAATCTTCAATGAGTAAAGGCAGAAGCATGGCTTAATCCACGACCAAGAATACATGCCTCCCTCTGGCAGTGCAGTCAGCATAATCTGGGTAGATGCAGCAGCTCACAGAGGAAATGGAACTGTATTGTCAGTGGCTGAAGTGACCTCCACAGCTATATCAACCTACTCTCCTCCATGGGGAGGATAGATGGCAGGGGTCTGCTGTGGAGCCAGGCATTAGAGACACAGAGCCAGAGCAGACATAAAGCCTCAGGGAGACATAATGGCAGTGTGACTGTTAACAAGAAGTGAATTTCCCCTTTCACTCACCTGTGTAAAGTGAGTGCATAATGGAAAAGGTTGGTGACACTTGTCACTCTTGTAAATGACCACATAAGTGACAAGGCAGTAGAGGATCAGGTGCAGGAGCTTTCACTGTCTGTCAGTGGGTGCGTGAGACACTTAATGCCTAAATGAGGCACTTAATGCCCATTTGACTAATTCTACTGCATATTAGCATGGCTGGCAAAAACCATGCTAATGTGCAACAGATTAATCCAATGAGCATTAAGTGTCACCAAAAAAAGTTTGTGCTAGTGCACAGTAGCACTGATTACAGCGCATTAAGTTAGTACCTGTTATTACAGATACTAAACTTAATGAGTCATAATGAGGGCTCATTAATAAATGTGTAGACATGCCCAGCTTGTCCTGAAACTGCCTCTCCAGCAGGCTGTTCCTCTAGAACCACATTTTCAATAGGGGTCAGGGCCAGAATTTTTTTACAGTGCTTGAAGCCCACAATCAGGGCCAGATTTTCAACATCCCAGCCCCCAGCATCTTGCTGAGCTATCTGTAAAATCTGGCTCCCTAGGCACAACTTAACCATACCCCTAGAAAACTACGTGTCTCCAGGCTAACAATCCCACATGCATTATCGTTTCTGGGTGTTGCAGAGTGTGGTAAATCTGTGCAGGAAAGGAACATTTCTGCTGACAATCAAAAAGGTGATTTAAACAGCCTTGCCCTAAGTGTTGTTTACCATTACACCAAACAACTTGAACAATGGCTTTTAAGCTGCAAGCCATTCCTCACTTTCAGACAACAAAATAGTTGATTTACCGCATCTGTCAGCTACTGTACATTTTGTTTAATAGCCGCAGTGATTGAGGCTAGTGTAGCTTACTTAGAAATCCACTTATTTAAACATTTATAGAGTTTCAACTCTCATCAAGGGTTCTAGCCAATAAGAATAATATTACCCTGTGCTTAGTATTGCCCTGGAAGGATCAAAGAGGCTAATTTCAATACCATAGGCAAAAATATTTATACTTATGCAACAGACCAGAATGATTCCAAAGGAGCTATTTAGCATTGCATAAATATACATTTGTTTTCAAATGATGTGATTATGCATTTGCATGCAATGCTGCACTTAAATTATGGCCCTGTCAGACTTACTGTCTTATGTAATCTCTCTCACACTTCTGCCAAAGGAATGATGATTTTCTTGTTGCTTTTTATGACAACTACCTTGCTACAAAAGGAATAAGGATCCTCTCCTGGAAAGGCTTGAATAACACCCATAAATCCAATGAGAGTCTTTACAAAATCATTTGTACTAGGAAATCCCTTTGGCACACCCTGACTTTTAGGTCTTTGAGGCTGTCTGTGTGAAAATACTGGACAACCTTTAAGAGAATTACCAGTTTAAAGGCAGAACTAGGAACTGCAAATACCTAGCCAGATCCTCCACTAGTGTATATAGGGTGGCCATTATAGAGGACAGTCTGGTTGTCCTCTGTCCTCTATTGATACGAAACCGGACACCTTTATGTCCTCTATTTTTCTCTTGAAGAGTAAAATAGAGGACATAAAGGCATCAGCTTTTGTATCAATAGAGGACAGAGTAGCAGAAAACCAGACTGTCCTCTATGATGGCCACCCTAGGTGTATATCAATCAGGCTCCACTGACTTCAAAGAGGCTACCCCAATTGACACCAGCTGCCTAAGGAGGCCAAATAATTGATTTGCGTGCTGTGACCATTTCTAATTTGGCACTTCCTCTAATATACAAGTCTTGAGGCATTTCCTCATTAGAGGAAGACCTCTCCACAAATTAATCTAGGTGGAGTTCAGGCTCTTTCCACTGGACAGAAATAGACTATAACTGTAACCTCCCTCAGGGAAATACCAAACTGACACACTGTGGGGGCAATGTCCATGATATATTCCCAGCACATCCAGGACAGTCTGATCTCCAACACACCCCATTTACCTGCTCCCATTCACACACTTTTTAATCCAGAAATGAGGGAGCAAAGCCTTACTAAGGGCCACTCTCTACTCCTCTCAGAGATGCTGGAGATATAAGTCTCAAGAACAGCAGCATGAGGGGCCCCCAGAGTAGCTTCATCATATCATTTTGGGGTTTAGCGTATGTTAAATAGGCTGGGTATATTTGACAGAGCCCCTCCATAGGTGTGCAGGGGACATAGTGTAGACGTACCCTGTGGCACCAACAAAGGATTTTTCCTTTTCTAAGTCTGATCATGGAACTCCTGACATCCAGTCCTAAATTTAAGCCACTGGGTAACACCACTTCACCAATCCTCTCCCACCTTTCACAAGAAGCTTACATGTCCAGTGGCACCAAAGGACTTGCACCAAAGGCAAAGTGGTGTGTATGTTAGGAACTCTCTCTTACCAAGTAACCTGCAAAATGAAAATACTGGAGTCACATTTCTATCGTATTCCTAAGCAACAGTTTTCAAAATGGTATTTCAGCTGCTGTGCAAATACACCCACGGGGATCCCAGTAGCAGAGATGCTCAAAAACTCACTTAGAAAAAACAGCCACCGTCAAGCACTAAATCCCTAAGGAAGGCCAACCAGGAGTGAGACTCTGACTGGGGAAAAAAAAAGCCTCCACAGTTCACCAAGGCAAAGCAAGGCCCCTGGGGCTGAGCTGTCTTAACAGCATCTCCTTGCAAAAGGACAGTTGTGAGTGCACTGCCAGGCTCTTTCTCCTGAAAAGCTGATTTTTTTTATATTTAAATTAGCTCTTAGCTTTGTTCAGCAAATAAAAGGTAACTCTCCTTCCAGAAGAATCTTTGTGGGGTGGGGAAAATAACAGAATAGCAGCTGGGGTGCCACAGGCACAATTTCTGACCCTAAAAGATCTGAGTTCCACTGTCAGCTCTGGAAAAGTGAGAAGACAGCACCAGATAACACTTCAGCTTGCTGAACTGTGCATGAAACTTCCCCCAGTGGTCTTTTGCATGGGGTAAAAGCCACAGTAATGATCCTGCAATGAGCTCCAATGCACATGAAACAGCGCTCAGTTTCTTTTCTCTGGGACCTTGGATCTGCACCAGAAGAGGTGCAGAGTGGAGTTGTCTCAGCAGGAGCGCCAGGAATCTTTGTGCCTCTGGGGAAAATGCTGCTAAAAGGGAGCAAGAGAGGGCATCACCTTCACTCTGTCCCTGGAAAAGGTGCCCTTGAAGTAGTTTCACCACTTCCTTACTAGTCTTAGTGCATGCGAAGCAGGAACAGGTAGGCTGGGTTGTTCAAACCTTTCCAACAGATAATCCTCGTTCCTTTTGTGGCAAGGTATTTGTCATAAAAAGCAACAGGAAAACAATAATTTCTTTGGCAGAAGGGCATGAGAATTGGTTCTTTTTTTTTTTTGAAAAAAATATTTATTTCTATATATATAACTGTACCTCTACCAACCCGTCAAGTGACCACTGTGGTTCACTTGACAGACCAAAACACACTTTACCAGTTAAACTATTTTAGTCCCATTACAAAGTTCACACCGTTCACCCATCACCATCCCAGTGCTTTCGCTCATTGTTGTCATATTCGTCCTCTTTGTCATTGCTGTCCTCACCACTATTGTCGCTGTTCTCTTTGGAGGGCTCGTCTCTGAAAAGTCTATGTCAGTCCTCTCTCCACCATATGAGGTCTGCTCTCTCTCTCCTGTTGTCTTCTTCCTGTATTACCAGTACATTTCACTCAGCCCCGTTTTAATACAGTCCTCAATTGTGGGGTCTGAGCACCTATTTGTGAACAGGTTCCTGACTTTCCACAGGGCATACCTGAAGCAGGAGATGAACTGGTCAAAGCAGGCTGTCAGGTCAAGTACCCGTAGAGGACCACTTCTCTGGTCGGGGTTCTGAAACCTGTCACTGCCAGAAGGAGTCTGTGTACTTTCTTTCACACCTCTCTGGCATATGGGCAGTTCCAGAAAACGTGGTTGA